TGGCTCAAGCAGCTAATGTACACCAGCCACGTACACCCAAGGTGGTGGGTTTGAATCCAGCCCAGGCTGGCCAAACAACGACAGCTGCAACCAAAAAATAGCTGGGCGTTGTGGCAGGTGCCTGTGGTCCCAGCTACTTGGGAGGCTGAGGCAGGAGACTCGCTTGAGCCCAGGAGAGGCAGGTTGAAGTGAGCTGAGATGCCACAGCACTCTACCCAGGGGGACAGCTTGAGGCTCCTGTCTCAAAAAAAAAAAAAAAAAAAAAAAAGAAAAGAAAACAGTATTTTTTTTGTGCTATATAAAAAAACATACCAAATACTGAGCAATTTATAAATAATAAAAATGTATTCCTTATAGTTGTAGATGCTGGGAAGTCCAAGACCCAGGCACCAGCAGGTTTGATAGTTGGCAAGAGCCTACTCTAAGATGTTACTCTAAGATGGCACCATCTAGGTGTTCTCATAAGGCAGAAGGGACAGAAGGGACAGAAGGGGATGAATGCTGTGTCTTCATGTGGCAAAAGACCATCTGCACTTGAAAGGAAATAGAAGGCTCTGTCCTACCCAGCTCACTAACCCCAAATGTACTTCTGAGGATGGAGCAAATGAGACTTCTTGAAATCAAGTTAACAAATGTCCACATCTTCTCTGAAACCCTCGCCTAACCACAATGCCTTGCCAATGCATTTTTTCTCAAGTCTAACTCCAATCTCCTTTTGCTGACTTTCAACCATTATCTTTCATTATAGCAGGGAAATTTCCTTTCATCTATTTATTCACTTAACTTTTTTTTGAGCACCTGCTGTATACAAAGATAACCTATGCCCTGCCCTCAAGCACCTTGCAGTTGAATTTTTTTTTTTTTTTTTTTGGTGATAAGGTCTTGCTCTGTAGCACTGTCATCTCATCGCAGCCTCAAACTTCTGGGTTTAAGTGATCATCCTGCTTTAGCCTCCCAAGAAGCTAGGACTACAGGTCTGTACACCACCACGCTCAGCTAATTTTTAAATTTTTTGTAGAGACAGGGTTTTGCTATGTTGCCAGGTCTGGTCTTGAACTCCTGGCCTATAGCAAACCTCCCACCTCGGCCTCCCCAAGTGCGATTATAGAAATGAGCTACCACTATCAGCCTGAAGTTGAATTTTAATACAGGAAAGTAGATTTCTTTCTTCTTTTTTTGCAGTTTTTAGCCGGGACCGGGTTTGAACCTGCCACCTCCAGTATATGGGGTCAGCACCCTACTCCTTGAGCCATAGGCGTTGCCCAGGAAAGTAGATTTCTAACACAAAGCCTAGCTTAAAGGCTGGTAAACATGTAAACTTAAGTATTCAGCAAGTGCCGCTTACCCTTTTCCGGGCTGCAGTATATGGACGCTGCAGTGGAACACTGGAAATTTTCAAAAAACCCTTTCCAAGGTAGACAAGGGCGCCAGCCGGAGTGGGTGGAGATGGTGGTGTCTATCTCACTTTGGAATGCGGAGACTTGTTTTGGATGTTCCAAATGTCAGGTTGGAGATGCGTGCAAAGAAGAGGGGCTTATTCTAACCAGATCAGGGCTAGAGGCAGCCCAGGACACTGTCTCCATGGTGCACAGTCCTAGACAGTTTGGAAACAAACAGAAACCCATCCAGAGGGGGAAGACTGACAAAGGCAAAAACAAAGGCCAAGAGATGGAAAACTCATGAGGTGGGGCATGGTGGAGAGGAGGGGAGTGGGGAGTGAGCTGGGTGGGGGCTGTGGTGGGGGCTTAGGGAGGAGCCTGATCCTGTTTGTGTGAGGAACTGAATGGGGCCCCAGGGCCTAAGAATCACCATGGCAACGGGGAGGGCAAGTGCCTCTGACTCCTGGCCAACACAAACCTGCTGGGCTTAGCAGCAGAAATAGGCTCAGATGTGATGGGGCCACATTCTAAAAAAAAAATCTGAATTGGGCTCTTAAAATCACAAACTCCCCATCCATCTCCTGGTTTTGTAGGCCTTCAGTGTCTAATAAGTTGATCAGAATGACATCAAACCACATTCCCTGACTCCACCTTTCATATACACATGTATACTTATCTAACACCTCACAGAGTAAAACTGACAGTTTACAGGATTCTGGATATTTCCCACTCATCACCGCTCCCAAAGCTGTCCCCTTAAAGAGCATTAATGATAGGGTGGCTGGGGCCCCATGTAAGGTGGTTCCAGTCCAACTACTATCAGGTCTCCTCTGTCAGTGACTGTCTGGTAAAGCTCTTGGGCCCCATGGACCTACCTTAGCAGGCCAAACTGGCCTTTTCCAGGAGCTGCCTGGCCCATGGAACCTGCCTTAGATGTAGGGTTAGTGCTAAATAGATAATAATCACATTTAGATTTTGTCCCAGTGTCTCACACTATCCCCATTACCCTAGTCCAGGGCTGACTTATCCATTAGACATAGTAGGCACAGGGCCTAAGATTCCCATTGCAAAAAATGTTTTCTTTTAAAATCAGAAGAAAAAAGAAACTTTTAAGTGGAAGAAAATGTTTTAGAATGTTAATATATTTATCCCTATACCAATGCAGCCATAGAATATAATTTTTTTTTTCTTTTTGAGACAGAGCCTCACTTTGTCACCCTGGGTAGACTGTCGTGGTGTCACAACTCCCAGCAACCTCAAATTCTTGGGTTCAAGCGATTGTCTTGCCTCAGCCTCCTGAGTAGCTGGGACTATATGTGCCTGCCACAATGCTTGGCTATTTTGAGAGATGGGGTCTCACTCTTGCTCAGGTCTCAAACACGTGAGTTCAGGCAATCCAGGTGCCTTGGCCTCCTACGGTTGTAGGATTACACGCGTGAGCTACCATGCCTGGCCTAGAATATAATTTTAAGTACTTTTTACATGGAGAAAGAGGGGACTGCAAAGACAAAAGTACCCAGAGCCCATGGAAGTCATTATGTGGCCCTGTCCCAGTCTTCCCTTCCACCTATTAGAACCCTGTAAACTCCAGGGATTTCCTTCCCCCTTATCAAAATGTACCTGTCTAATGTCCCTCCAGTACTCCTAAAGGTCCTACAGGGCAGGACCTTCTTTTCTTCTTTTTCTTTTTGGAGCCAGAGTCTCACTGAGCTAGAGTGCCATGGGCTTAGCCTAGCTCAGCAACCTCTAACTCCTGGAGTCAAGTGATCCTCCTGCCTCAGCCTCCCAAGTAGCTGGGACTATAGGCACCTGCCACAGTGCCCAGCTAATTTTTTTCTGTTTTTTTTGTACTGATGAGATCTATGCTCTTGCTTAGGCTGGTCTCAAACTCCTGAATTCAAGGAATGTTCACATTTTGACCTCCCAGAGTCAGGATTACAGCCATGACCCACCATACCTGGCCCAGGACCATTATTTATCCTCATGCCCCCACAATCACACTGGGATTTCCACTGCCATTTTTTTTTTCTCTTTTGGCTGGGGAGTAGGGGAGATGGAATAGAAACCTGAGGGAAAAAACAAAGGTCAAGTTTGAAAATAAATACTGCCTAACTGAAAGAAACCCACTCCTCAGCTCTGCTCTCCAGTAGTGAGCTGATGTGACAGCCAGGTCTCAGGGAACAGACTTTCTGGAAGGCATGCAGAAATTTCCCATCTGTGCAGCCTGACTTTGTCCACATCCCTTACAACTGAACTCTACTCACTGTTCCTGCTGAATTTGCCAATCATCTCCATCTCAGTAAATCCAACAGACACTTCTCAGGTTTAATCCTGACTTTTCAGCAGCACCTGACACTGCTCAGTAGCCCTCCTTCTTGGCTTCCATGACTTTGCTATCTTGCTTTCCTCCTATTCCTGATACTCCTACTCTGTCTCCTTTGCAGGTGCTGTGCTCTGCTGGGCTATTGAAGACAACGATACAATAGCAGGAGTTTACACATACCAGCAATCTACCCTGCTCTGGGCACTGTATTTTGTATCAGCTTTTTTAATCCTCAAAATCATCCTAAATGCATTCTCCAATCACCAGCTAGAGTAATTTTACTGAAAACCAAATCTCAACATTTCCTTAAAACCTTCCAGTGGCTCTCCCTTGCCCACAGCTTTGAGGTCTTTCAAGATCTAGCCCCACTCACCTTTGTAGCCTGATTTCTCAGTATTGCCTCTTTTACCATCTTTCTTTTACCTTCTCTCAGAACTCTAGATCTTCATAAGTACTGTTCCCACCACCTGAAACACTTTTTTCTCTATCTCTTAACTAGTTCTTATTTATGAGATTGACACAGTTCTGCCACTTGCAAGCTACTAAACTCTCTGGGACTTTAGTTCCTTATCTGTTACGGTGGTTAAGCCTGCTGTGAAGATTAAACAAATCTGTATACTAAGGTGCTTTGCGGTGCTCACTTGTGTCACGTCAATTATTTCCTGACCTCAGATCACATTAAAACCCCTTGCCATACCTTTAATCCCAACACTCTGGGAGGCTGAGGCAGGTGGACCGCTTGAGCTCAGGACAAGAACTGCCTGAGCAAGAGCAAGACCCCCCTCTACTAAAAATAGAAAAACTAGCTAGGTATAGTGGGTGCATACCTGTACTCGGGAGGGTGAGGCAAAGGATTGTTCAAGCTCAAGAGTTTGAAGTGGCTGTGAGCTGATAATGCCACAACACTCTAACCAGGGCAACAGAGCAAGCCTGTGTTTAAAAAAAAAAAAAAAAGGCTCCTTGCCAGGTATTTCCCAAAATTCCTCTAATATCATCTAATGCCAACTCCACTCCTGAAATATCTATCTTTGGTTCTGCCCACCTTGCCAGACTGTCCACTTGTGAGGGCAGGGGCATTTTGACTTTGATTCTGCCCATATTCCTAGTACCTGGCACACAGTAGGCACTCGTATCTGTTAAATCAGCAGCTAGAAATCCAGCACCTACTAGATAACCTGATGATATATGTTCTCCAGCCAACGGCCACCTCACACAAGGAAGTAAAGGGAGTAAGATTTCTAATCACATGGTATACACACAGCAGACTCAGGCAGAAAGCAGGCACAAAGGTAACTTGGTAATTAGGAAAATATCTTTATTATTTTTGAAATGTTCTAATATTCAATATAAAAACCGTGATAGTGGCTTTCCACAACTTTACAAATTATAGAAAAATGATTTTTTTCCCCTTCTTTATGGAAATCTCACCCCCAAATCATACAGGGCCCCATATGGCTGAAACCCAGCAGGAAAAAAGGAGCAGAGAATACAAGTAGGGCTGCAGCTCTCTGGGTGGCCAAAGGCTTTTCCTACACATTAAAGCCCTGGATGAGTCCCAAAGACCTATGACTCCTCTGAAGGAGGCTCTACCCGTGCAGGTCTATGGCACACCGAGCCAGGCCTCTGTCTCAAAGGCCAGCAGACCACCACAGGCCTGCAGCATGGCACTCATGGCTGGCAGGCCACAGGCAAGGCAGCTTCGTGAGAATGAGAACAGGAGGCGAGCCTACTGCTCAAATCCCTTTCTCTAAAACACAGCCAGGAAAGAGGCTGTGGACATTGGCCAAATAGTGCTCTAGGTTTAGAAATTTCCCCTTTTACTCAGCTCACAAAGACTAATTTGTCAAACAGCTATTTAAAAAAAAATCAGAAAACAAATATTTGGTTCCATTTCAGCTGTAATCAGCAGTTGGCAATTTTTTAGAAAAAGATGACTTGAGTTGTTCATTATTAAATCTGTATTTTTTATCAGACCCCTGACTCCTTTCTTATCCACAGTTTGTCAGAGAATGAGCGGGGAGGTACAGCTGTAGCAGGAGGCTGTTTGTTGATTTGAGAAAACTGTTGAAATGTTTTGCACTCACATACAAAAGCTGATGGAATTCAAAAATGACCCCAATGATTTTTATGAGAAACATGACTGTTCCTCTTGGGTGTCGCAAGTCAAAACAAGGCAACCGCCTAGTGATTTATAGTCCCCACATTTTCCGCCTTCCAGAAGGCATTAGAGAAAGGGCCAAACTCCGCCAGGAGCGATTGTAAACACACCACTGACAGCCTGGACACTTTGTTTTCAAATGCAGCAGGACTTTTTCCTTTGGCCTTGGCTGAAAAGCCAACTCCCTAGGACTGGTTAGGAAGGAGCAGATGGGAGGGCTCCCCCAAAACCTAAGTGTGAGGGACCAATGGTCCCTGTTGACTGGAGTGTGGCTGGGAGCATCATCAAAGGCAATCAATACTTTATGGCATACGAAAATTGACTTGTGGTTCCCCCAACTGCCCCCAGGCTGCACCTGGCTGGACATGAGGCACAGGAGGTACAGAACAAGTTATCATAAGGCACATAGTTGAGGTGGCCCCCATACCAGGCTCAGAAAGATTATCTCTTCGCACGATTCCAGAAGTGCTGGAAAGCAGAGGAGTTGATGACACTCACTATGAGCAGCAGCAGCAGATACAGGGATATCATGACCGTAAACCAATGGCTAGAAAACCAGGAGACCTGGCTTGAAGCCCTGCTTAAGAGAGAAAAAAGAATGTGTTGGCAGAAATAGAAAAACATTTTTTTTAAAGTATATGCAACAAGTCTGGCTCAAAGAGAACAAAATGATGAATTCCATCCTCTGCGTGAGCCATGAAATGAAGCTTCGTGCTCCTTTGCTCAAAAAATCTGGGGCTGTTTGCCCTGGCACTGACACACCTTTCAACAGAACATTTTCTAAATGCACAAAGACAGCTATGCAATGAGCTCATTCTGATCTTCCCCTTTATAGCTCCTCTTTTACCTTTTATAACCCATCTTTTCTTAAGCAAGACTTTGGTATCTAGAAGAATGATCTAGCTCAAGATATTTGCCCAGATAGTGGCAGGTGGCAGGTCATTCAGCAAAGGTCTTTTCATTTTTAGACATGTACAGGTATGAATTCAAGCTGGGGAAATCCTCTTTGGCCCACTAGGAGATGATCTAAACCAGCCAAGTGTGCACTTAATGAGACACTCCAGGAAGGAAGGGGAAAGGAACAGAAATTTTCAAGCAGAAAAAAATGACTTTACACCAAAGGATAATGTGCCCCAAACTCAGGTGCCGTATATAGACTTCCCAAGTTGGGGTGGGCCATGGGGGTGGGGATATTACTGTTTTACAAAATTTACATGTGTGGAAACCATGCTGTGTACAAGCCAGAGTGGAAATTATTAAAAGTGGACCCTTTTCATGTCATACCTGCTCACCTGCTGTTCATCCCCTTGTGTTCCAATAATGTGACAAGATCTCAGAATGACTCCAACCCTAGGGAAGCCTGCACACATACTGCTGAGAGGGGACTAGGCACCGACCATGTTCCTCATGAGCTAAAGGCTCTGGTTGGACACTCTCAGGTCCAGAGAGGGGCAGGTGGTAGTTGCAAAGCCACCCTGGGAAGTAACTCAACTGGGCAGCACACAGCCCCAGCCAGTGTCCAGTCACTGCCCCATCTCTCCACTTAACCTCATCTGTGGGTTTCAGACCATAATCACAGGACTGACGGCTAAGGGGCTACACTGTCTGGGGCAACCAATGTGGCTTCCATCAGTCCCTCATGCTATTTGTCTTTACAAATCTATCTTTTCACCGGAGTATCTGAAGTCAGACAATTAGGGTCACAGACTTATCTAGAAAAAGGGCCATAACAATAGCTCTGATTGCCATTCCAAAAAGAGAGTTCCAAAATTACTTTGAAGGATGGACTAGGCTCTGGTGGGGGTGTAGAGCTTCCCCAGGGGAATTCTTCAAAGGTGACCATAATGATATTCACCAATGAAGTAGGAAGAACTTTTTCTAGGATGAGTTCAAGAACTTCACTGTCAGGCCTCTTAGGATAAGGACCATGTCTTCTCTGATTCTATTCCTGACCCCTCACCATGTGCAGCAGAGATCTGAGGCTGCTTGTTCTCCGGACCTCATGCAGGGAATGACCCTCTTACCTCTTGGGCTGCTTCTGCGAATACACCAGCAGGTACTTCACTCGCAGGAGCTGGTTATTGGTGACCACAAAGTACTTTGGAGGGATGTCCCCCCCTTCACTATGTTTAATTCTTGCTCTTCTGCGATCTATCTCCTTGGAATCTGAATAAGGAGAGTAAAGCACATCTTTACTGGGAGAAATACAATAACTAAAGAAGCAAATCATAAAGAGAAACAAGTCCAGCTCTTGGTCCTGAGGGCAGCAGAGAAATGGGCCTGTGTGCACAGGAAGCACTTCCATAAAAACAGCAGACTCTGGCAGACTGGGAGGCAGACAGGAATAGGAAAAAAGGAATAGCAAAATGCAAAGGATACAAGGAAGAAGAAACAGAATAAAACTCAACTGAGTGGGAAAAGCAGAGGGGAGAAGTAAACTGATGGCCATAACAAAAAATACTTTGGGACTCGGAACGGAAATGGGACTTGATCTGAAACAAGTAGGCATTTTAAACAAACCCTTCTGGGTTTGCGCTTCTTTGAACACTTAACTTCTACCCTTAGTACCAAGATCCGTATGCAAAAAAAACCCAAAAAAACCCTTTTCTTTTAATAACATGAAAAAAGCTCCACCAAAAACAAAACAAAAAGGGAGGCTGCAAGGTTTTGTTTTGATGTTTAATGTCACAGTTTACAAATTTTCTAAAAATTTTAAGTGTAAATATCCATGCCATCTGGCGTGAGAAGGTGGTGTCAGGCCTGGACCTGTTTCTCAGATTCCAGTTGTTTCACATTAGAGACCAGAACAGTCAGTTTTTGAATTCTCTTTTTCTCGATAGAACTAACAGACCAATTCTGGAGACTGGAATGACAGTCTGTGTTCTCTAATGTAGCAGAACCATGGAGGAGCAAAGCAAAAAGCATCAGGGACACATCAGGGATATGGGATGAGATGCAGCTAGTCACTGCTCTCAGGAGAGCCCACCATGTACTCCTTAGAGCCCCAGTTTCTCCTCTGTGGGCTCCAGCATGTCCCAGAATAGATCAGAGGGTCTGAACCCAGTTCTTAGTTTCATTTTAGCAAATTTTTTTTTGAGACAGAGTCTTAGTAAGGCACCCTCAGTAGAGTGCTGTGGTGTCACAGCTCACAGCAACCTCAAATTCTTGGGCTTGATTCTCTTGCCTCAGCCTCCCAAGTAGCTGGGACTACAGGTGCCCGCCACAATACCCAGCTATTTTTTTGGCTGTAGTTGTCATTATTGTTTTGGGAGGCCCGGGCCAGGTTCGAACCTGGCAGCTCTGGTGTATGTGGCTGGCACCCTAGCGGCTGAGTTACAGGTGCCAAGTCTAGTTTAGCAAATATTACTGAATGTCAAGTATATACCAGGCTCTCTTCTGACACAAGATGTCTTAAGAATGAATGAGACCTCACTCTTACCTTCAGGGAGCCCATGCTCTGGCCTCACCATTATTTCTAAGTCCAACCTTGCCTCCTCCCCCAAGCTTTCCCCTGCCACTTGGATCCACCAAAATTGCTCCTTCCCTTCAGCTGCCCCTATGGATCTCGTAAGTCCCTCACCTGGCACCCACCACCTACCACCTTGTGGTAAGTGATCTTTTCCATTACTTACTTGTTCAACCCCTAATAAGACTGCTCACACCTTGAAGGCAGGCTCCTGCACTGTTCCAGACCCAGCCCCTCTGGTGGCATGCACTGGGTGCTCCACCCAACAGCCAGGCCAACAAAAGCCTGTATCCCCTACACCGGACCTGTAGCCCTGATCTGGGCCCAGCACGCACTCACTCACCCTTCTTCTTGGTTTGGCACTTGACATCTGGATGGTCTATGACCTCACACACGGCCACACAGCTGAGGATAGGGCCAAGGAGGCTGTGCTGCCACCCGTGGCCATGGGGACTGTAAATGAGGGCAAGGCTCAAGTCACTTGTGAGGTAGGTCCCCTCTCCAAACAAGGATGTCTGCAAGGGCAGAGCCCAACAGAAAAGAAACACAGATGGGTGAACACTGAGTTGGTGCAGCAAGACAATGCAGGTTGTTCAGCAGAGTCACAAACACCAAACTTTCAAGCCCCCTTTATTCCCAGAAAGACACAGGGTCAAATAATCCTGTGATATCATCATAGGATTATGACTAAACACATTCTTCCCTGACAACAGTTTAACTGATTGGTGAACTAGTCATCTAGCCTGGCAAACCAGCAGTTCCTTGTGGTCAAGGTTAAATGAAAAAAACACAGATATAGGAGCCCATACAGACCTTGGTTTGAATGCTCCAACAAGCTGGCAACCTATGTAACTCTCTGTGTCTCAGCTTCTATTTATAAAAGAGTGTTAGAAGCACCTCCTTCGTAAGGTTTGGGGGGGGTGATTAAATGAAGTAATACAGCAAAACAGACCCAGGCACGTGGGTACTCCAGCAGAATTTCTTATGCTGCAGTGTACACAGTAATTCCTGCTGTGCGATTGCATTAATCATGGTTATGTTGATGGGCTTGTAAAAGCAAAGTCACACCCTCTTACAGGGAGGGCTTCTCACCTGAGGGAGGAAGTACTCTAAGTCATTACACTGAAAAGAAATGAGTCTCCACTGGGTGCAGTGGCTCATGCCTGTAATCTTAGCTCTGAGGGAGGCCAAAGCAGGATTACTTGAGCTTAGGAGTTCAAGACCAGGCTAAGCAAGAGCAAGACCTTTGCCTCTACTAAAAATAGAAAAACAAGTGCTGGGCGTTGGGTGCCTGTAGTCCTAGCTACTTGGGAGGCTGAGGCAAGAGAGACTCTTGAGCCCAAGAATGTGAGGTTGCTGTGAGCTATGACACCATAGCACTCTACATAATACAGGGTGACAGAGTAAGACTTTGCCTCAAAAAAAAAAAAAAAAGAGGAGTGTAATCTATAAGCAACTTCTCCAGGCTGCCTCTACTGTAAAGCAGAAGCCCCCTGCGTTCCAGTAGTCTGGTCATTATACTAAGCTGAGAGCCAGTGGGAACTGAGTGCCAGTGTAAACAAGCCCATCACTCTCAGCAAAACCCAACGGCACTAATCAGGTGCAGGAGGGCTGGGAAATGTCTCCAGCCTCAGAGTTGCAGCAGCCACAGCTGAGCCCAGGGCTGGCAGAGCCGGCCTCTCATAGACAAGACAGATGCTGCATGATGAGGGAGAGGCCTGCAGCTCCCCGGCGACCCCAGGTGACCTCTCCATTGGCGTGTAAAAGCAACTACTGCTTCCTTGGTACTTTGTACATGAAGAACACTTTGTATACATGAACTGTTTCAATCCTCTCACATATCAGAAGGAAGGTAATGGTGTCCTATGTTACAGATGGGAAAACTGAGGCTCAGAGAGTTTAAGTTAATTTGTCCAGGGCCACAGGGCTGCTAAGTCTTTCTAGCTCCAGGACCTATCTGTAAACTTTCTCCTATACCTCAGTGAGGGGCAAAATAAAAACCAGCAGAGAAGGGGTGGCTGACACTGTTTTAACTCCTAAAAAAGGTAGAAAAGCAGCTCAGGGAGGGCGGGAAAGGCCCTGTCCTTGGTGCATCCTGGCACAGCCCTCAATTTCTCCAATAGCTAACTCCACTGGAGGTCCCTTAAGGAAGTGCTTCTCAGACTTCTCAATGTGCATATGTTCACCTGAGGACCTTGTGAAAGTATGAATTTGCATCGGGCGGTCTGGGGCCGGCCTGAGAGTCCATACTTCCATCAGCTCCCAGGTGATGTGAATGCTGCTGGCCCAAGGGGTACACCAAGGAGCTGGGGCTATCCACATACCAGGATCTCTTGGAGAGTCTTCAAAGCAACTGGTATTTGGGCTTCACTCACAGAGATTCTGACTTACTTGATCTGGGATGCAGCCAGGCATTTGGGGTTGTTTTTTTTTTTTTCCTTTTTCCAGTTACAAGGAGTGATGATATAGGCATTTGGGATTTTTAAAAGCTCCCCAAGTGGTTCTAAATGTGTGGCCAAGACTGGGAACGATCCTAAGTCAATGCTTCTCGAACTATATAATCAGGATAAGAATCACCTGGAAATCTTGTTAAAAGGCAGGTCTGATTCAGAAAGGCCCAGGATTCTGCATTTTCACAGGTTCCCACATTTAGAGCAGCAAGGCCTTAGCAAATCTACCCACCCCCACTGCCCACCAGCCAACTCCCCAGGGTTCTCAGTCCCCCACTCTTCCTACTCCCCAAACCCCCACCCTTATTAGCAGGGTGCCCCCTGGGCCCCACCTTGTTCAGGTGGCAGTGCAGCCCGTTGTGGATGATGGAATGGAAGTTTTCCAGGCGGCTGCCATGGAAGGCATAGATAAGGTCTCGTTCTCCTTTGGTCTCATAAAATTTGGCGTTGGCTGGGTCGAAGTACTCAATTTCAAACAGGAAGTCCGGTGCGGGAACAGATGTGTGAGGAGCACCAGTCAGCTTTTGGATCTTTTCAAACTTGAAAAGGAAAGGAGCCGAAATTTTATTTGGGAAGCTGGTAAAATGCACTGTAAAAATGGCTTCGTAGGCTCGGCACCTATGGCTCAAGTGGCTAAGGCGCCAGCCACATATACCTAAGGTGGTGGGTTCGAATCCCCAGCCCGGGCCTGCCAAAGAACAATGATGGCTGCAACCAAAAAATGGCCAGGTGTTGTGGTGGGCGCCTGTGGTCCCAGCTAATTGGGAGGTGGAGGCAGGAGACTCACTTGAGCCCAGGAGTTGGAGGTTGCTGTGAGTGTGATGCCATGGCACTCTACCCAGGGGGATAGCTTGAGGCTCCGTCTCAAAAAAAAAAAAAAAAGGCTTCCTAAAGCCTCGGTCAGGTTGACTCCCATAGGCTCTGCTCATGAGAATAACAAGTTTCGTGAGAATACAAACATTAATTTATAAGCTAACTCAGAGCTGAGGCTCAAGACTGCTTTTGTTCCTACAGTAGGCTGAGAAGCATAAATTGCTCCTTCTAACTGGAGATCACTTCTAATCTTGACACTTTCACATCTGTTTCTTGTATTCTATATTTACAATAGTCTCATGAAGGGGAAAGGTTAGATAAATCACAAAAATAGTCAAAAATTTTCCCTCCCTCTCTGTCCATACATCCCTCTGCAATGATTTTGCAGGTGGGATTCTACCAAGATTCCATCAAGAATGGAATGGGGCTATTTCTCCACCTCTTGGATATGTACTTGGCCACGTGACGTCCTAAGGCTACTGGGACAACAGCATACATATGGCAAACAGAGACTTGAAAAGGGCTTGACTTCCTTGTTTGCTGTTGAGAGCCCTTCACCATTGTTCTGGGCTGGCCTCCTCTAGGATGAGAGCCTCACAGAGAAAGGACTCAGCCAAGGTCGTCCCTCCCAGCTGAAGATCCAGAAGAGTGAGAAAAGTGAAGCTACCCAGCTCATCCAAGTCAGCCAAGCCCCCGCCCCAACCAACCCATAGAATCAGGAAAAGCAATCAACATTTATCACTGTAAGACACTAAATTTTATGGGTGGTTTGTTATTCAGCAAAAGTTAATTGATAGAGAAAACTTCAAGAACAATAATCCTCAGGGCAGAGATTACATCATCTCAGTGGTTTTAAACAGTAGGTGATACTGTTCGGGTATGTGTCCCCTCCAAATTTCATGTTGAAACTTCACCTCCAATGTTAGAAGTGGGGCCTAGTGGGAAGTGTTTGGGTCATAGGGGCAGATTCCTCATGAATGGGATGGTGCCCTTCCCACGAAATTGAGTGAGTTCTCTGAGTTCTGGCTCTTAGTTCACAGCCAGAGCTGGTTGGTTAAAAGAGCCTGGCACCCTTCCTTTTCTTTCTTGCTCCCCCTCTCACCATGTGACACACCTACTCCCCCTTGCCTTCTGTCGTGAGTGGAGGCAGGCTTCCTGTACAGCCTGCAGAACCATGCACCAAACATACTTCTTTTTTCTTTATAAATTATTCGACTTCAGATATTCCTTCTTAGAAACACAAAATGAACTAAGATAGTAAGTCATAAACCAAAGCCAGCGTCTGGCAGTTTTCTCTCATTAGACTTGAACGAGAAAAACAAGGGCAATGTAACAGATATACAGCAGAACCTCTGTAAGCTGACCACCCAAGGGACTGTAACGAACTGGTCAACATACAGAGAGGGTCAACATAAGGAACTAGGTCTACTATACTGATACATACATGTGGCCATGTCCAGTCTATGAAAACTAGGTCAACTGGGGAGGTAGTGGGCTATGGAGGTTCTACTGTATTTATATTGATAGACGGTTGTCATGATCCTTTCCTCAGAAGAAATATCCCCTATTCTGAGGTTAAGACCATCCTCTTTTTCTAGCATTAAAATATCCTCTTATAAAATAGGATAACAAAGTAAAATATAAAATAAAAATTAGTTAACAAAAGCAAAACCAAAATATAATCTAGGAATTAGCAGTCCACATTCTATCATAGCCCCAGTTTGAGGTAACTATTAATATTCTCAATTTACTGGCTCGGCGCCTGTGGCTCAAGCGGCTAAGGCACCAGCCACATACACCTAAGGTGGCGGGTTTGAATCCCCAGCCC